CCCCAAAACCCCAAAACCCCAAAACCCCAAGATTAATAAGAGTTTAAATTTAAGGGGTAAATAGGAAAGTTAAATTTAGAGCTGTCTAAAAACCTATGATTAATTAAAGCAATAAGTATAATTGTGTATTAAGCTATTGTAAATAATATAAATGCTAGATTGTATCCTGAATATCTTAGATAAAGATATAAACGTACTTTCTTGTGCGAAATAAGTGCTATGTTATTTAGTTCCTATATATTTCAGCTATATTTTACTCTCCTACATCTATTCCACTTATAGAATCTCTCAAAATACAAAAAAAGCCTTGCTACATAGAGTTTAAAGAGACGCCAGGAAATTTGACTTTCCTCTAGTAGATGATACCAAGAAAAAATTGATCTTAAACTCTAGTATTGAAACTTTAAGAAAGCTATAAATTGAATAGAAGATCAAGAGTGAGGACATTGTCAGTGTGTTCTCCTAAAGGTGCTATACCATAGGCAGAGAATTGAATCTAATAACAGAGGAGTTTTATGATTCAGCTCTTGAAATCGCTAGAAAAAAAGATAAAATGCTTGGTGACGCTTTGAAGAACAATGATTTGTCAAAAATTGGGCCACTTCATGGAATTCCCTTCTCAGTTAAAGACTAGATTCATGTTAAAGGAATTAGATCTACAGTTGGCTGTGGATACTTGGTTGATAATTTCAATCCTGACGATTCATCTATCGTTTAAGTTTTGAGAGAACAAGGTGGCATCCCTTTTGTGAAAACCAACTGTCCATAGATGACTCTCTACCTTTAAAGTGAAAACTATATGTTTGGTAATGCCAACAACCCATATGATCAAACAAGAACTTGTGGTGGAAGTTCAGGAGGAGAAGGAGGTGTTTCAGCTACAAGATGCTCACCTTTTGGAATTGGTACTGATGTACTTGGGAGCATTAGATGTCCAGCTCTCTTTAATGGAGTCTTTGGTTTTAGATCCACACCTCAAAGAATGAGTTGGTAAGGATGCTCATTGCCTATGCCTTATGGTATCACTGATTAATGGTTTATCGCTCCAGTACCTGGTCCATTGGCAACTAGAGCTGAAGACATAGCTTATGTAACTAAAAACCTGATAAATGATAAAATGTTTTTCAGAGACAAAAATCTTTCGCCAATTACTTATTCTGAGGAGGAATTTCAATCATGTCTTAAAAAGAAGTACAAGATTGCCTATTTTGATGATTTGGGAATTTCATCCTCATCATTTCCAAATAAAAGAGCAGTTAACATCGCTAAATAGAAACTTAAGGAACTTGGACATGAGTTGGTGCCTCTTAAAATATCTTTGGAGGATCACAAACGTATGAAAATCATTATCTACAAGTCTTTGTATAACTGCTATATTGAACGTATGAGTAAGCTCTTTAATAATAAGTATGAGAAAATTCTCAAAGAAATGGCGTTCAACCTCTTTTTTATTAGACAAGGAACTATTGTTAAAAAAATAATTGTCTTCTTAGTCAGCTTAATCAGCAAAAGAGCTGCAGAAGTAATGTCTTAAGCCAAAAAGTATGAAATTTCAGACCTTGACGAGCTTTACATGGAAAAAGTACAGTTAATGAAAGAACTTAACAATATGATTGATGATATGAAAATTGATGCAATTATATGTCCAGGCTTTGCTCTTCCAGCATATACAAACAAAGAATGTGAACTAATGGGACTTTAAATGGATTTCTTCAATGTACCAAACTTCCTTTAATTTCCTGTTGGAGTGATCCCAGTCACTGAGGTCATGGAAGGAGAGGATATTGATTTCGTTGATAGCTATAATGATATAATAACTAGTTCATTTAAAAGAGCATTAAAAGGATCTAAAGGTATGCCAGTGGGCATATAGATCGCTACACCTAAATGGAAAGATGAGTAATGCCTTGCTATTATGAAGATATTAGATGATGCAATTAAGTTTAGAAAAACTCCAGAGAAATATTTTAAGCATGAATGATTTACTGAAAATCAGATTTGATTTTATTAAAAACTTATATCTAATTTTACTTTATGAATTGCTATGAGGGGTTTTGGGGTTTTGGGGTTTTGGGG